GTCCAAGAAAATAATTTCCACCTCTGTGGCTTGGAGGAGACACATCAAAGGAATTGCACAGAACCCTTCCTCAATGAATAGAATTTACAATACTAAAAAACAAAAAAACAAAAAACCAAAACCTGAAAATAGAAATAATAACAAGGAATTTTTTTTAAAAAAAACCCAAACCACAAATTCCGCATTCTGTGTTGACTCTAAGCAATGGCATTACCCTGATGAGTAACTGGAAGGAAAACTTTTGCTAACATTTCTCCCTGAGCTCACCCTGCCGTGTGTTCTCCTTTCACACGTGTGTTTGACTGTGCACAAGAACGAGAGGGTCAGTTTAGACCCCCCCCCACGGCTAGGCCTTCTCAGAGTGTTGGTGATTTACGAAGGGAGAGTTTCGCCAGTGGCCCTGAGCCTTGTATAGCCCGCACTCAGTAGTTCAAGCCAGATGGCTTCCTGCTGGATTTAAGGGGTAAACTGACCAATCGAGGAGAGTTTTGCTTGTATGGAGAGTGGACCCAACTGGAAATGTGGCAAAAGCGATCTCTGATCTGGCCACAATGACTCTTATCACATCCAGGATGAATTACTGTGACATGCTGTATATGGAGCTGCTTATGAAAAGTTCAGTGTGTCTGAAATGCAGCAGCCAGATCGCTGATGGGAACTGGTTACAGGCATGACAGAACCCCCCGTGACAGCCGATCAGCTTTCAGGCCCAATTCAAAGTGCTGGTTTTAACCTATAAAGCCCTAAACGGCTTAAGCCCAAGCTGTCTCAAAGACAATGTCTCCCATTATGAGCCTGCTCAGGCCCCACCACAGATGTGCTTCGTTGGAGACACAGCAGAGGGCCTTCTCTGTGGCTGCTCCCAGAGACTCTGGAACTCCCTCCCACTGGAGGCCAGGCAGGCCCCATCTTGGCTGTCCTTCCGCAAGCAGGCCAAGACCTTTCTTTTCAGGCAGGCTTTCCCTTAGGGTCTGGCTGATTGAATGAGATTTTAAATGCGTCCCACTGGAGGCCAGGCAGGCCCCATCTTGGCTGTCCTTCCGCAAGCAGGCCAAGATCGAGACTGAAGGATGCCTACTGCTTTGAGTGTGTTTTTAATATTGCTTTTGTTTACCATTTCCCAGAGCAGCATTTGCTTGATCCTTTTAGTATTTGTATACTTACTGTTTTTAACTTTCAGTTTTGTCTTTTAATGATGTAAGCCTCCTTGGGTCCCTTTTTAAGGAGAAAGGCAGGGTAAAAATATTTTAAGCAAGCAAGTGAACAAACAAACAGGCAGAAAAGGAAAACATCAACCTTCCACTGCTCAGTGCACGCAGGGACTTTTAACTGGACAAAACACTGTCTGATCAGCTGTGAACTAGGACTGGGCAGAGGTTCCCTGGTCTGATTACGAGGGCAGGTCTGCATGTGTCTTGATACGGTCTGGAGTGATTTACGGGCACCAAATCTGATGGCGTGTGTGCCCTGGATCCAAATCTCTTTGTAAGCCTCCTGCTGATTTGCGCTGGCAATCATTTCTCTTTCCACTGCTGTTCCTTAAATTTGACCGTATGAGGGACCCTGAAAGACAGGAGTAAACCTGACAACTTTCAGACAGCTAATTTTAAGGGTCTCTTTGCTAGGCTCTTTGGTAATTGGCTTTCTTCCAGGAAGCAAAGACATCTGTGCCCCTTCTCATATAAATGATGCTCTGGATGCAAATCAATCTGTAAATTCACTCCTTTTTGCCCTGGAGCTGGATTTGGCTTTCCTGGTTCTATTCAGACATCAGGTAAACAGGCCAGTTAGGTTCCTCTCTCTGAAGGCAGCGCGCGGCCCTCCTGCAAGCTATCAGTTCCCTATTCAGATCTGTGATGAGACCAGTTGCCATCACCATGAATCGGAGGTAGGCAATGCTACTTTAACAAAGTGATTAGTCACTGTTATTGTTCAACACCTCCATTTGGTAAATAATTGGTTAATATTACAGTTAGAGTTTGTTGGATAGCTCAGCTGTTTAGATATCACGCTGTGGGGCTGGTGGTTGAGAGTTCAAATCCCCACTGTGCCAGCTTGTGTGGCTTTGGGCAAGCTGCAGAGTCCCGAGATGCCCCCAGAAGAAAGCAGTGGGAAACCATATTCTCTACCTAGAAAACCTTGGAGAGGGTCACTGTAAGTCAGAATTGACTCGATGGGACACTGTTATTATTATTACAGTCATAAAAGTAATTTTCCATTCTGTTAAACAACTAAAATCATTATGTTCCTCCCCCTACTGTAACTGAAAATATTTGTCACTTACTTTTCTTTATAATCTGAATGCTACAAGTTGCCCACTTACGGCTCAATTGTCCTCGCCTTCCATACACCTTATTAATTGCATTGCCTCAACATTCACAACAGATCACAAGCCAGCACATGAACCGTGAGACATTCCACCTCTGCAATGTAAAGAGGCCACACCCCTTATAAGAGTGAAACAAACACAGTTATTCTGCAACGTGGGATGCGCCCCATCTCATGATCCATCAGAAAACAATGCAGCTGGAGAAAATGAATTACTTGTAGGTCGCCAGTAAGGGGGGATGGCTCAGGCACCAAACTTTTTTCTGGAGGGGGTACACCTGATCGTTCTTTTTGCATCCTTGAAAAATCCCATCGGATGCTTATATGAGCACTTGGCATAATTTCCTATCATAAGGATTCCAGATCCTTGTTGTACCTGAGAGCAGAGCGGCGTGTCCTCAGTGCTATGAAAAAATAGCAATTCTTCTCAGAAAAATAAAATGCCGCCATCTGTTTAGATTTATGCTAATTGACTGGATTTGCATAGCTTTCCTGGTTTTGCAAAGTTTATGTTGCTGCTTGGTTATTTATTCTGGTTTTGCTTGAGTTAGGAAGGAGGGATGCAGGAGACAGAGCAGAGAAGCCATTTCCAACCACAGGAATTCAGTTCATGAAGCCTGTTGACTTCTGAGATTAGAGCAAGCATTAGAGCATAACTGTACAGCATCAGGGCTAGAAGCTTGCCTTCTAAAAATGAGAGTTAAACTAGATGACATGACACTCTTGAACATTTTTTGAAAGAAGAAAAATGCCCTTCTGTTAAATGCCCAGAATAGTTAGTAGTCTACCTACTCATTGGGCAGGATAGAAATGTGAGCAAACAAACAAAGCTCCCTCAAAGAGTGAAATATGTCTGTTTTTCATAGCACATGCATTTCCTTCACCTATGCATCTTGCATTTAGCGTGCTTTGTTTCATCTCAGTGATCTGGTTGGCCCTTGAAAGATTTACATAGGTTGAAGTTAAAAGTGAATTAAGCCAATCCACTGACCCATTGCAAAACAAAGCATGGTTCAATGGAACATGCATATGGGAGAGGAGAGGAAATCACATGCTATGACAGACAGACATCTTTCACCACTGAAAGGAGCATCTCTGCAAAAAATATGATAAGCATATTGTTTAGAGAGCTAGTTTCCCAGCAGGTGAAGAACCCAAATGTGTCTGGTTTAGCTTCCCTTCACTAAGGGGAAAAAGGAAGAAACCAATGTTTCTCATCTCTTCCCAGCAGTTTAGCTTTATGTCCAAGTCTGGTCTTAGGAAATTATGAAGCAGCTAATCTAGGGACAGAACCTGTAGTGACAAAATAATAAATATATTGAAGTAAATTGGCCTGATGGTCTATCAATCTATCACCTGCTGTCTTTCTTTTATATAAAAACGGTCAAATATTCCATACAGCCGAGAATGTCCCTGGAGCTATGTCATGCCTCTGTCCTTTGTAAGCAAGGGTGTGAAATGGGAGACTAGGTGTTCCATCAGCCAACAAGACAGGGAGCGAACCTAGTCAACCAGCGATACTTGCAGGCAAAGGAAAATAATCCTGTTGTTCAACCCCCAAACCCAGTAAATTATTAGTTACTATTACAGCTAGAGATCATTGGATAGTTCAGCGGTTTAGATCTCTGGTTGTGGAGCTGGTGGTTGGGAGGTCAGTTCTCCCACTGTGAGAATAACCCTTTCCTCCTTGCTCTGCACTTAATGCATTAAAAAAAACCCAAAAGACCTCCTTAGAGCTGCCGCCCACAGATGAGGCAGAAACACTGATCTGTGGGTGTGACGTATTTCCTGAAGCCACCGATTTATCTTCTTGAGCAAATGACGTATCTGACAGATGCATGGGAAGATGTAGTCTTCAAGGACCTAAAATAGAGTAAGTGTTAGGGTGGAGGAGAGCACGAGTTAAGATACATCTCTACTTTATAGAACCATCCCAATAACTTAGCGGCATCTCCTCTCAATAAACACATCCCCACCCTTTAATGGACACCTCGCTCGCTAGTGATAACCTCAGATTTCATTTTTATTAACAACCCAAGGGGTGGAAAAGCAAAATCTAGGGAGTCCTACTCCATTCAGAAATGTTCCATCTTTCTGTTAAATTTCACAGGTCAATGTTTCATGCCTCTGTGGGACAAACCCTGAATTTATCGCCATGTTTTCGCGTTTCTGGAAGGCAGCAGGAGAGACAGAGGAACAGTGTTGTTCAAACTGCAGGGGTGGAAAAACTAGGTTTTCTGTTGTCGTTTCTGTTTTCTACAGAGGAGGCTAAAACTGACAGTGCAAGCATAAAATTAAAGCAGGGGGCAGACAACGTTTGACTAAAATTTACAGCCTAGAGAAAATGCTGTGTTATTTGTGTGTGCAGGCCAGCATGTGTGCAATAATGAAACCTAACAAAACTTGTTTTAGGAAACAAGCAATCTTCACTCCAAGTTATTTTAAGGCACAGAATGTTTTATTAAAGATTTTCAGTGCTTTCATAATAGTAACTAAACCATAGTTAACCAGTTGATGGATGGGTTTTTGGTTTGTTGCTGTAGTTTTGCACATTAGGATTTTCCAAATGAGTATCTATGAAGAAATAACGATGAACAAAGCATACAATGATGTCTTTGTGGGCTGCTTCCTTCTCTATGGACCTGCTAGGATGCCTGGGTCATCTTCGGATAACCTTCTGATTGGCTGAAGAAAGTGAAATAAGCAGGTGGAAGAAAGAAGACATTTTCATGAACCTTAAAGATGGAGCATGTGTCCTCCTAATGGTACTGTCTTTTGTCCTGACATTACTAGCATTTTTCCTGCTATTTGTAAACTGTTCCACCTCTCTCTTGATACAGTGTTTTTTTCCATGACTTTCTACTACTTTTTGTTTCTCCTGCAAGGATGGTTTATTTTTAGTATTGCTTTGTCCCGGGTGCAGACTTCCTTGTTTCCCACTTGCAGCTGATGTCCATGATGATAGCCTTGGGGTGAGAGCTTTCAAGGATGCAGTCCTCACCCCACATTTTAAAAAAAGATCCAGTAGAGAAGACCCATCATAGCAGTGGATCTCTAAAGAATTAAGAGAGAACCAAACTTCTGAAATTTCTTAAAGAGAAATTTGGAAGCAAACCCTGGTTAACCCATGCTTTCTCAGCCCCAATAAAAAAATTACAAAAAGTTAAAAAAGCTTAATACAGTCTTACACAAAGCAACTTAAACTAGCCAATTACACATCAGTGCCTGCCTCCACCAGGACTATTCAATGACATGTTACATCAGTTTTTCAGTTATTTTATTTAATATATCTTTATCCCACTTTTAACAGGATCCAAGTTGTGGTGCCATATTCCCCTTCTAAAACTGCATTGATCCTTTTGAAGGTATGCAAACCTTCCCTTTATTTCTAAACATTTCTTAAAATATTGTTTGTCAAACCCTTTTTAACCTTAATATCATAAGTTAGCTTATCATTAATAGCACTGTCCCATCCTTCTTTATGCCAGTCATTTTATTGCAATTCATGCTTTAATTCCCAATTTTCTGCTATAATTAATCTTACTGCTGTTATTAAGTTTGTTATCCATTCTTTTACTGCTCAGTTCCATTGTTCCTTACTAAATATAGATAGCAGAGCTGTAGAATTCTGCATGTACATTGCTGGGGAATGAGAGCCGGAGGATGCAGTTGCTGTTATGATCCGATTTTTAAGGGGATGCTGTACTTAATTCCTTACATCTTTAGGTTTTAATGGAATACTCTCCCAAGAAACCTCTACACTATTAGCTTTTTATGCTGGCTGGGCAGGGAGGGAGGGGAGACACCCATCCTTTTATCCTGTGCATTTTAGATTTGTATATTATAGATTTTATGAGAGTTATCATTTATGAACTGCTTGGATAGCTCAGAGGTTTTGGTATACAGCTGCACAGCCAAAGGTTGGGAGTTGGAGGGCAGAGAAACCACCTGGAGGTTTTTAGGGTGCTGTGAGGGAGCTGCAAAAGATGGCCGAGAGGAAGGAAGTTTAAATCCAGCTGCCATTGTAGGCCAAAATTGACACCATTGTATTGCCTGGTACAACCTTTTGGAATGATTCCCTTTAGTTATTGGGCAGTTTGAAAGTACTGAAATAAATAACAATACATTTCAGACATATATTTTGCAAAATTATTGCTCTTGTAATATATGCAACATTTGTTAGTTAACACATAGACACCCCTCCCCCCCCAAATACACACATGGCAATTGGCTTTTATATCAGTCTTACCTTTTAATTTTGGAAACTGAAGCCCCTTAAATGAATACCATCTGGGCTCGGTCATTGACTGTGTTAACTGTTCTTGGGTACCACTGAATTCAACGTGAAGTTAAGGCTAATGTAATTGAGGTCGATTTGAGTGGCCACAAAGTGTGCTGGTGTAGCTTAGTGGGTTGGAACACCTGGCTGCAGAACCGGGAGCTGGGATGTTGAGTTCCCGCAGCGCTCCCTGGGAGAGAGGTGAGTGAAGATCAGCCCAGGGACAGGGGGCTGACATCTCTTCAGCTAGAGAAAGCTGCATATTCTCAGAACACCCCCAGAAGGAGGAAGAGGTACTTTATATCTAGGAAAGGTTATGAAGTTGGCTTTTGGTTACCCTTTGTCCTTGTTTGCTGGCATCCATTTTTCCAAGAATGAAGGAAAACCTGCCTTCGTCATTGCTTCATAAGCAAGAGAGCTTGCATTTACGTATATGGATTTATATTCCTATTAAAAGGGAGCCCGGCATTTGTATGAATGGGCAGGTTTTGGCAGGCTTACAGGTCCTCGGAGTCTTGTTAACCCACCCCCAGGGCGCTTGCAGGTCAGGATGTTATGCAGCCTCCAGTATTTAGCTTAGACGCCTATCACGTACACAGCACGTTTTCATTGTTTACATGCCCATGTCCTTAGAAATTGTCAACAGGAATACTGAAGGACGTTGGACAGGGGGGCGGACGTGCCTCTCAACCAGAATATACAGGGATTACATTGGTAAAACTCTAGACAGTGGGAGCAGTATTACATGCAGCTAGACCATGGGTCTGATCAGCTCAGCAGTGTCTGGTACAGCTCTCCTGGAATAGCAGAGAATCATTTTATTCTCCACAAACATGCATGACCTCTGCATCCCCAGAGATGAAACCTGGTTGTCACCATCCAAGAGATCCCAGGCAGCCCTCCTCCCCTGGAGGCAAGGGCACCAGAGCCCAATTCACCACGCAGAGGATCAAGTCAAAAGACACTCACCACACAGTTAGTTGTGACCAAGCAGAGGTGAGAGCACCAAGCTGAGAACATGGAGCCAGAACAAGGCCCCGAGATGCAGGAGGCCAGGAGAGACGAAAGCAAGGGCCAAGGTAGGAACAGGAATACTGGAACACAGGGCCTGAGGAGCAGCACAACCAAAGACTTTTGTTGCAAAGGCCAATTCTGGGAGGGAGAACCCTTCCTTAAATAGCCCTTCCCTCCAGGTTTCCAGGTGAGCCTCATGAGTGGCCCAGCAGCTGCTACCCAGGCCAGGGCCTGAGCCTGCAAACACCCAGCCATACCTGGGGTCAGGCTGGCCCCGATCCTGCAGCTGCCCGGGTGGTACAGGCCAGATCCCGAAACTGGTGCTACCAACCAACCTCAGGGCAATGCTTTAAAGTTTGCACTTGCATCTTGGACTCAAATCAAGAGTGGCTTCACAGAAATCCCTCCCCCCTAAACTAGAATCACCCCTGGCCACTGGCCTATATTATCAGTGAAATACTCATAATATCCCTTCCCTCTCTTCTCATCCATATGGCTCTGCTGTGGGAGTGTGACAGAAGCCATCCCGTTCTGTGTGGCATTCTGTGTTGCTTCTTTTCACCGCCCTCCCGTGTCTGCCCACTTAGCCGATAGTCTGCCTCCTCCTTAGTGTACCTCTGATGATGTCCCACTGAGTCCCATTACCGTCCTGACATGGTCCTGCTGCGGTTGATCGCAGCTGGCTGTATCCATCAGCAGGCCCTAAGAAGAGCGAAGGGGTTCCCAGAAGGCTGACTCATGCGCCACAACCAGGTCGAATGTCCCAGCTGGATGCAAATCGCAGCTCAAAGAAGGAACTTGCACATTTTAAAAGCCTCCTCCACCTTCCTCCCTAGTTTGCCTCACACTCAGCAGATGGTGTTCACCTCTAATGGGAGGAGTGGAATGGAAAATCCCTCTCCCCCCTCCCACAAAAAAGTCAACAACAAGAGCAACAAAAACAACAAACACCAAAACCTACAGTGTGGCACCCCTTTCCAAATCCAGTGCAGTGCTTTGAATGAGCGTGGATGTGATAAATGTGCAACAGTGGCAGGTCTGTTTGGGTAAACGTGGTGTCAACCTACCTAAGGCTACCTCTAGCTAAATGACTCTGGCTAACAGCGTAAGACAAGCTCATGCTACAATAGGCAGACCTTTTTTTTAATAAAAACCTCTAAAGTAATGACAGCTGGTGACTCCAGTTTCAGAGGTTCTGTAAATCCACTCCAGTATTTCCTCTGCACTTTACAGGAGTTATCCAAGGTGTTGAACTTATTCAGAGGACAGGTTTGGGCACTTTGGAAAAGGCAGATAAAAATATGGAGTGGATTGAGACCAGCCCTGAAACTGGGATCACCAGCAGCCTTGAGGTTCACACCTTAAAGAGTGCATTGGTAAATGGCAAGAGATCACATCCTATAAAGCAGTTTCTCTCTAGGTGCACTCTGAGGTCTAAGCAGAGAGATGTCTCACTCCAACATTTTTTGGGTGGGGTGCCTTCCTGCTCTGTTCATAAGCTCATAATTTTGGGCTTCCCTTGCGCCTGTGTCCTTGAATAGATCCAAAGCACATTCAGTGGTTCAGTTTGGGCAGCTGGGCTTGCCTTTGGCTTCACCTTGGACTGTCCTGTTAGTTTGTGAAAGCAAACAGCTTATTAACTTCACCCAAAGCTCTGGCTGGCTGGTGCCAGCCAGAACGAATTAAGTGGGCATACCGTTGATCAGTTTCTTCCAAAGCTGGCTGTGTCTGAGTGGCAGATCAACCATTTCCAGCCCATCACCTGGGCTGGCACAATTCCCAGGAAGGAGGGAAATGGGTTGAAATGATGTTTAAATAACACTGAAAAACTTGATTTAACTAGAGAGGGGTAGCTTTATGTATGTATAGAATACAGTGTAGCTACTGTTTCCAATTCTGGGTGGCAATCTTTGATACAAAGTTGTGTGCACTGTATGTTTAATTGTTGTTATTTTAATGTGATACTCACGTAATGCTTTTAAATGTGTTGTTTTATCTGCTATGGGCCGTCTTGGGTCCCCTATGGGGAGAAAGGCTGTGTATAAATAATTTAAACAAATAAATCGACAACCAAGTGAACTCTGAACTTCCAAACTGGAGGAGAAATTCAAAGCAGGATAATGTGAGAAGGTGGGTAGGTGGGCGGATGGGGAAGCCTCTTGTAACGGCCTGTTTCTGCCTGAAGGAGGCATCCATCTTCCCAGCAAAAACTCAAAACTCCTCCATGGCTGTGCCCATGTTTGCCTGCAAAAATGGCATGGTCGGATTGCTAAATCGACACGAGCTTTCCATGATTTATTGATGGGAACAGGGTGGGGGCCATTGTCCCCATGCGTGTGTCTCAACAATGCACAGTTCTAAACCTCTCTTGCACAGATGAGTCAACTCTCCAGGTTTCAAGACAACCTGAGTTTGACTCTAACTTTCCAGTCTGCTCAGCCATTCCTCTGTCGGTAAGTGCCCTGGGAGACAGACGGCAGCATGTCCGGGAAAATGGAGCATCCTGCCGGAGAGCTAAATAAATGAAAAGATGCACAGGAAGTTTACTCCAAGCCAACAATATTTATGTTCTCTTTTTCCTCCTTTTTTTAAAAAAGGATAACTTTCTGACTTACTTTTGTGACATAAAGGAACGAATTAAGTGGGTTGTTGTAGGTTTTCCAGGCTCTTTGGACGTGTTCTGAAGGTTGTTCTTCCCAACGTTTTGCCAGTCTCTGTAGCCGGCATCTTCAGAGGACAGGAGCTAGAACTCTGTCTGTGTTCTGGTGTAGTGTGTGGGATCCTGGCGGTGAAAGCCTTAGAGAATACGATCTTGTTTCAATTGTTTTGACTTCAAGTTCCCATCAAAAGCCCATGTTGGCCTTAGTTGTGCTCAGTTGTGATGGCACTGTCTTTTTCTTCTCTCCTTCCTGCTTCCACTCACAGTATGCAGCATGACAGTGCAACTGGGATTCTGCCCCAAGATGCAGAATTATACTGTAAAGACGAATCTTCTGGTGAGTGTTTGCAAAAGCTGTGGCTTCCTTTGCTGAATCAATCCATTTCACGTTAGGCCTTCCTCTGTTCCTAAGGCTTTCTACTTTTCCAGGCATTATTGTCTCTACCAAGGGGGTCCTGTCTTCTCATGAGGTGCCCAAGCTATGATAGCCTTGGTTCTGTCATCTTAACTTCTAGTGAGAATTCAGGCTTGATTCAATCTGTCACTCACTTATTTGTTCCTCTGGCAGTCCATGGTATCTCTAAAGCAGTGGCTCCCAACTCTAGAACTCTGTCGTGTTCTTGGACTGCAACTCCCAGAAATTCTGTCCAGCACAGCTATTGGTGGAGGCTTCTGGGAGTTGTAGTCCAAGAACATCTGGGGACCTAAGGCTGGGAGCCACTGCTCTAAAGCTTTCCTTCAGTATCACATTTCCAATGAACTGATTCTTTTTTCTGCCAGCTTTCTTCTCTGCCCCATGAATGCATCTGTACCTAGTCATCTGGAATACCATAGTATGGCTGATCATGACTTTGGCCTCTAATGACACATCCTCACACTTAAGAAATCCTTCAAGACACTCTAGAGAAAAATGAACCTCCCCTCTCCAAAAGAGTAGCATTTGAGAGTGCTTGTTTGTATGAACTTCAACCTGTGGATCTCATTGGGCTTTCTTACAGATTATGTTTTCAGAACTGCAGGTCAGATAATGCTAGAGGGAGCTGCGCCCTCCCCCCTGCAAGTAAGAGATAGGAGCTCACTCAGTTCAAGTTCAGGGAACCCAGCAGGGCCAAAGAGATAACACCACTTTTCTTCAACTGGCTCTCCACTCCATGGTGGTTTCTCTAAGGCAGGACGCCAACCACACATGGGCCCAAGCCGGCTGGTGGGGCCTTGGGAGTCGAAGCTTGGGAACAGGACATTAAAATAGACCAGATCTGCTTTAAACACGTTGTGCTGGGTTTTTCAAGGATCTCCTGCCTCTGTCTAAAAAAAATAAAAATGGAGAAAATTCATCAGAAATGAAAATGCAACGGCATCAATCTTCTACCGAAGAAAGATGTTCTGAAGCAAGAATACCCGCACAGGCCTTCGAGTCGGGGCAGAAATAGTCCATACCGTTTTCACTCTGAGCCTAATCCTTCCTTGTTGGCAGCATTCTCTTAGAGGGATGATAAATTAATTATGCAAATTATGGATCTGCTGGGGCGGGACGCAGTGGGGGATTAGTGGAGATTCGCTACTGGTTGGTTCCTAGAGGGTGGCGGGGGGGGGGCGGGCAGAGAATAAAGGCTTGTTTATGAACTTTGCCCATAATATTCTGGTATTTTCCCCTCCAGCAAGTTTGTTTGCTATGGCAGAACTGAGCCTGAACTGAATTCTGTGCCAACCACAGGGAATGACTTAACTGGTAGGATGACAGTGAGAGGGAGGGAGCCAGGAAACATCTTTTAAAGAATCACTCCTCATCAGAAAACTGGCAGAACTAATATCTTAGAAGCTCACCTATATCTGGATTCCACTGCTAGATGCAATGACATTAAAAAAAAACCCTGTCAAAATGAGTTAAAATGTTCACCTACATGTTGAATTGAGCTGCTATAGATTTGCATAACATTTGCATATGTTAATCTTGGAGTGCAAAATTTCCAATTTGTTTTCCAGGAAAAACATAGGGAAAGAAACCATTCTTTTCTGGGATTTGGGATTTCTCTAAAGCCAATTCACAGCCCTACAAAAATAGGCATTAACATTTTTGTAAGAGTCGAGTCAGAAGAAGATGCCCAGCCTGGTGTGTAGGGGATGGAGTGAGGGACCAGGACTCAGGCGAACAGGGTCCGGATCCCCTGCTGTGCCATGGAAACTCACTGAGGGTGTGTAATTGGGAAATCCACTCCTTAAATACCTCACTTACCTTGCAAGCCCTATTAGAATCACTATAAATCAGTCCCAACATGACAACACATAACTATTTGACCAGGGACACGATGAGTTATTAATAAACGCAGGCTGTGCAATGCTTCCCAGGGTTTTACTTTGAGGAAGAGATAAAGGCCATCCGATTCCACATAAAAAAAATCCAACAGGAAAGATCGCATGTCTTTGGAGAAGGAGAAGGCCAGGACCTGTCAATTTACGAGGACTCATCACAACAAGAAAACTGGAAGGAAGGGCTGGTATTTATATTTATGTTTATTTTAAATTGTTATCTCAGCTCAACAGCTTCATTGGAAATTAGCAAGGTCAAACATAGATGGCTTTGGGGTGGCTCCGAGCCCTGGAAAGACAAACAAACAGCAACAACCACAAAGAAAGGTTGTTTTGTGAAGAGAGTTGATTTCCCACTCACCTCCCCCCCCCCCAGACTCTTGAGTTTTGCTCAGGGGCCGCCTGGTGCTCCTTCTGGCTGGTGGGGTGGAAGGCCCAGCCGCCAATGGTGGCCAGACCGAGGTGTGACAGTTGTGGTGGCCGGTCTGGCTGAGGCATTTATTTAAAACACAGATGCAACATGTGCACAGATCGATAGATCGATATGGCAAGTTAAGATAGATAGATAGATAGATAGATAGATAGATAGATATGGCAAGTTGTGCAGTTCCTTTGTCAGCACAACAGGATTCTGGTCACTGGGTTTGCTGTCTTCTTCAGGTTTAATTATCTACACACAAAGATCTAATATGGAAGGGCACAGAGCCACCCAGAAATCCTGCACAGCTAGTGGAAAAGGCCTCTGGGAGTTGCAGTCTGAGATTGGGAACCTCCATCCTAGGTTAAGGTTGACACTTTTTAAAAAATGTCTGAACAGACCTCATGCAACCCTGCAAATATACAACTGTGTTTCTACCTCACCTCCCAACAACCTGTCTCACTGTGTGGCCAGGAAGCCCGCTTCCAAATTTCCCCAAGGAGCCGTCGCTTCCTTATTTCTCCCAACCTTCTTTTCTTCCGCTGCTTTTCTTGCTTTGCCTGGTGAAATGAGCCATCCATGCCAGTTGGGTTCAATCCATGAGGAGCAGGCCAGGTTAAAATATCCTTTTTTCAGCCACTGCCTTAAGGGTTCTTTTTCCTCCCTGGATCCCGAGCCTGGTGCCAACTTCCTTGTAAAGGAGCCCCTGCACTTCGAGAGGCGGGGTGAGATGTCAACAATGGGATCCCATCCTTCGGAAGGAAAGACAGGCAACATGACAGAGAACTAGAGGACAATAAGAGACAAATATATCTGATGGGGTGGCGTGCATGCGTGTGTGTGTTTAGTAATTGATCCTGCTTCCAAGATTTCCTTTCTGTAATCCCTCTGTTAATGAAAAGTATCTTCCCCCACAAATGTCCAAACATGTTGGGTTGGGCAAAAACGGGTAGAATGGAAGTTAGAGTGAAGTTAGTGGAGAAGAGAATGAACTCTTTTTTAAAAAGGGGCCCTGATCCTTTGCCCTCTTTTGACATGGAATGCTGAGTTTGTCCAAGATACGTCCCCGAACTCCTTCCCTCTCTTTCTCTCCTGTCCACCCATGCAAGAAGAACAAAGGGGCAAGACTGCCATAAGGGACAGAGCAGCTTAAGGACATTGGAAAAGCTCTTAAAGGTCCCATGGCTTCGGCATGCTGTTCTCAAAATCCTCTCCCCCTAGGTATGCCATGAGTGGGTCATGACGGCAACGGTCCATGCTGATCAGAGTCTCTACAAGTTGTAAACCAAAAATTAAAACTTCCAGACTCTGAATCCTGGATCCAGGTTTAACCATCATGACCACTAGCTCCTGAGAGACATCTCCTCTCCCATTGTGTCTCCTCCATTGGCACAAATTTGTTTAATACTGTTCTTGAACCTCCCACGGTTTTGGCCGTCAGTCCATCCCATGGCAGTGGGTTTCATAATTTCAGACATCCCGAAGTACTCATAGATGTGTGAGAGATGATGAGAATGAAAGAATCTGTAGAACAACATTTAAGAAGCTTTGGCCCACTCCATAATTTGGACGTCAACTTTCAGAAGCCCCAGCCAACATGGCCAGTTCTGGAGGACCACAGTAGTTTTGCCCCAAACCATGTAGAGGACGAAACCCTGCCATATGATGTTTATTCAGTCTAGTTCTGCAATGAGGGTGTAGCTCAACTCTACGGAATGGTAGCTTGACTTTTTAAAGTAGTGGTTCCCCACCTTGGGTAACAATATGATGTTTATTCAGTCTAGTTCTGCAGTGAGGGTGTAGCTCAACTCTATGGAATGGTAGCTTGACTTTTTTAAGTAGTGGTTCCCCACCTTGGGTAACACAGATGTTCTTGGACTGCAGCTCCCAGAAATCCTAGCCAGCACAGCTAGTGGTGAAGGCTTCTGGGAGTTGTAGTCCAATAACATATGGTTGGGAACCACTGTTCTATAGAGCTTGACAGGGCTCCTCAGAAGAAGAGCTGAAGGCCCTCATATTTGCATAGTGAAAGCAAATCATTCTCTTGGCCTCAGGCATGGACTGGATAAGCCATGTTAGCTGAACATACATGCAAAGACTTCCATGAAAACAATTATATTTTGATAGCGAAATCTGTGTTGGATTGCCAGTGCCCTGGCTACCTAGATGTTCAAGGTTACCATGGCTGAGAAAGCTCAAACAAACTCCCTTAGAAGAAAAGCCTGAAAGAAGTCAACAGTTTTTTGGGTTGTCTCATACCCTGTCTTTCTGCCAAAATAAAATAAAATAAAAATTTTAAAAGGCACATAAGGAAGATTGTGATGGTAAAGTCAAATATTAATATATGTGATTAACCATTAAGCTATAAAAACAAATGAAAGGCTACAAAAATCCATAAAAAGGAAACACCTCCTTGAACTAATGTCTCAGAGTGATTTATTGAGACTGAAAGTGCCATTTGATGAGAAAAAGCCTTGGTCTTCTCTGGGGATCTTGAAGCGATTCTGCTCTGTGAATTCCTGCTCTTCTGTTGGGCAACTAGGTGAATTTAACCACAATTCAAAACTCTTCAATGTGTTCTATCACAGGTTTTTCTGCCCAAGAAAACTTGT